CCCCGATAGTCACAAGCTTACCTGCTTCTGCTGAGAAGCTAGGGCGCATGCACATTGATGCCTAGAGCAAAGTGTCTCCATGCATGCCTTCTGTGCCCGTGGGGTGGGGACGTAGAGGGTGTGCCCCACTGGATGCCTGTGCCCCACTGAGCCTGAACACATCCAAGATAGAGGCTCCAGAAAATGCAGCCAAAGAACAGACACGAGGAGGCCTTGGCAGGAGCTCTGACTGGGAGCCTGAGAGCCAGAATCCAGCTCAAAGATGAGCCCCCCGCTGAGTGCAGCTTCTTTGACCTTGCTCAGAAATCCTTAAATTCTCAGTGTAAAACCACCACAGAAGGGGCTTCCCTGGTGGTGCAGTGGTTGAGAGTCCGCGTGCCAATGCGGGGGACGCGGGTTCGCGCCCCGGTCTGGGAGGATCCCACGTGCCGCAGAACGGATGGGCCCGTGAGCCATGGTCGCTGGGCCTGCGCGGCCGGAGCCTGTGCTCCGCAGCTGGGGGCGGGGGCGCGGCAGTGAGAGGCCCGCGTATCGCAAAACAAACAAAAACAAACAAAAAAAAGACCACAGAAGCAGAGGCCAGGTGAAGACTATGGAAAAGCACAGACTCTGGCTTGCCGGGGGAGAGGCAGGACAGATGCAGTGACAGTGGCTGGGCTCTGGAGTCCAATCTGCTGGGTTTGAAACCTCGTTTTGTCTCAAGCTGCGTGACCGTTAGCAAGTTGTTAACCTCTCTGAGACTCAGCTGCTTTATCTTTAGACTGGGGGTTCTTGTGAGGATTAAGTGAGACAATTCACATGAAGTACTGAACAGAGTACCTGTCTTATGGTTAAGTGCTTCCTAACTGTTAGAAATTGTTATTCAAGCAACTTGATGGAAAAAAACATATAATGTTTAAATAGATCAAACCAGGTACAAGAGGAAGAAAATCTAAAAAAAGAAAACCGAAACAATACAACGCATCCTCTGAAAAGACTGTACCAACTGAGGATCTAGGTTCAAAGGCCAAGAGTTCTTGTGTTAAAATTAAAAAAGAAAAATTAGAAGGAAATTCATTTAAGAGTGTGCTGTGTGTCTGTGTACACGTGTTTGCATTCTCTGGTATGTTAAACGTTTTATGGGATGACAACGGGGATTTTCTAGGGTTACTCGGTAAATGCTTTTAGCCTGAAACTAAGTGTAGCAAATCACCAGGCAAGGAGCTCATTAGCCAGACAGGGGAAAGGCAAATGGTCCAGATTTCCAGGGCATGATGCTCCAATGAGGTGAGCATTGGGCCTCGGGAAATGCTCTTGGAAGGAATAAACCACAAAACAGGAAAGAAGCAGGAAAGGCAGGGTTGGGGGGCAGAGCCTGAGAGGGTACCGGCTGCAGACAGAGGTCTGATCAGAAGTTAAAAGGAGTAAGCCTTGAATCCAGACAGCAGAGGCCATGGTCCTCACGAGACCCGAAAGACTGAAAGAAACGGTGCAGCGCTGGGCTGGGGGCCAGTACAAGAGGCTGCAGCCGGCCTGGGTGGGCGGAAGGAAATGACACCGAGGCACAACTGCAAGGACCTGTCTGAGAATTTCAATTTGTGCCCAGGAGAGTAACCGGAGGTGAGGCAGGCACCTCTACTCCTACACTTTGTACTTTACTTCTGAGAGCTGGCTAATTACCACCCACCTCCCTTCACCCTGCCTTTGCCTGCACCTTTGAAGGCTTCTGCCCCCTCAGCACTACAATGCCTCCATCTACTATAGTGTAATTCTGAGAATACAGGATGGTAGGTGACTTTCAAACCTTTTATGCGCTGAGCATTCGTCACTCCGACAACATCCTAGACTTACTTACTTAGATTGGAAAGTCCTTCATTTGCCTACTGCTGTTTGCAGATGCTTATAAGGTTCAATTCTGAGGATCACAGTTCACAGCTCTGATTACATATCTACCCTTAGTGCATCAGGGCCTGCATGGCCCTTGGGAGAAGGGAGACCTGGGTGTGAATCCTGGCTTTGTACGTACTGGCTCTGTGACGTGGGACCAATTTCTTCCCCTCTTTGAACCTCAGTTTCCTCTTTGTTAAATGGAGATATGCACACTTTGCCCGAGAGATCATGGATATACACAAATCCACGACAGCGGTGACATCCTGGATGTACGCAAAGCACCCCACCCGGTATTTGGCACACAGAGGTCACTCAATAATTGTAACTGTTGGGTATGACTGCTGCCGGTCTGCATACTAATACTCTAGGGACATAATGAGGTTGATGGGATTTATTGCAAACTGGAACGGAAGCCCTCACTGATCCGGGAAGGCTGGACCTGGATGTACGATTTAAAAAGCAAGCCGCTCCTGGAGTCTGCAATTCACCACCCTCTAACTGCAGTGGCCACCTGACAGAGCAAATGAATTGCTGTAAACCGTTAATGAGGGGCAAGATGGTGTTTGGAAGAACTGTAAAATTACTCCCCCATTACCAGGCCGTTAGTGAAGCTTTCATCTGCCATCCAACTTCCCCAACAGCTACGGTCTCTCAGTTTCCTAATTGTCTAGAGGTTTTGATTTATCTGGCAGAGGAAGGAGGCCCTGGACCAAAGTTCTGGGAAAGAGGCTTTACTAAACGTCTGTAAGACCACACGGGTGAGAGCCTGGCCCAGGGTAAGCCATGCAGGAAAGTGTGGCCGGCACTACGGGTTCCCACACAGATGACAGCACACCTATTGGTGAAGGCAAGTCTTGCCCACTAGCTACGGGACAGGCCCTGGGTACCAAGGCGTGCGTGGAAGGATTCGGGAAGTGCTTTCTTCAGTGTTCAGAGGAGTAACAAAGGAGGAGCAATAGGCAGGCCCTGCTTTTCCATATTTGACATCTCGCTTTTCTGCCTATTCGCTGTGCTCACTGTGGTCTAGTCAACGCCTATACTTCTCCTCTTGGTCATTGACTCACTCACTTGTATATTAGTTCATTCATTCCACAAATATTTAGGAGGTGCCTACTGTGTGATGGTCACTGTTTTAGACACTAATGTCTAGATACACGATGTAGAGATACATAGGGATAAAAGAATCTTCCGTCCTCGGGGAGCTTACATTCTAGTGTGGAGAGACAGATACACGCGAGTACGTGAAGTGCAAACGTGTGAAGGTGATAAGAGCTACATAAAAAAAATTAAGCAGGGAAGAGCGACAGGACATGATGTAGGGAGGGGCTGTGGTTTTAAGTGAGGGGGTTAAGGAAGCCTCACTAAGAAGGTGATACCTGAGCAAGACTTGTAGGGGCTGCAGCCTTCACCTGCTTTCCTGATGTGACCACGCCAAGGTCACACCACCCCCAGCAAGGGAAGAACATCCCGCCTGTAAGAGCGTCTGGCTGCAGCCTCCTTTGCCGGTCAGCTGTGTGCGCTCCAAGCAGGCTACGGCCTCGGCCTCACGGGCGGGACCCCGGGCCACGGCGGACACCCAGGGAGGGGACCGCAGCCACAAGGGGCGGGTCGCAGAGGCGGCCGAGCGGGTCCTCACCTCCTCCAGCCGCCGGCGCTGCTCTTTCTGCTCCTCGATGCGCTTCTGGCGCTCGGCCAGCAGCTGCCGCTTGTGCTCCTCGTTCTCCCGCTGCTGCTGCTCCAGCTGCTGCCGCCGCAGGGCCTCAGACCGCTCCTTGTTGGCCAGCTGGAGCCTCAGAAAGTCCCGCCGCAGCGTCGACTCGCCGGGCAGGTTCAGAATGGAGCTGCGCGGCAGGAGAGACAGATCAGGCTCCCAATCAGGGCGGGGCCATCGCTACCGGGG